AGGGCTCCTAATGCTGTGTATGTAGTAACTTCCCTCTCTCTGCTCTCTCCCTCTCTCTCTCTCTGGGGCTTTGAATCTTGGTGTTCATGCTGTGTAAACAAATCATTCACTGCACTAGGGGCCAAATGTTGAATCATTTGGTGGTGAGAGGAAAATGAGGATGTGAACAGTTCTGTCTAGCACCAATCTGGGTAATGGTCAGGACTGGCTTCCCAGATGTGCAACCTGTGCAGTCACACAGACCCCCGTACTCAGAAGGGCCACTTGGTTTAATGTTCTACTGTTGCTGTCTTGAAAGTCTTAATAGTTTTTTTGTTTTTTTGTGTTTTTTCTTGGTGAGGAAGTCTGGCCCTGAGCTAACATCTGTTGCCAATCTTCCTCTTTTTGCTTGAGGAAGATTGTCACTGAGCCAACATCCATGCCAATCCTCCTCTATTTTGTATGTGGGATGTAGCCAGAGCATGGCTTGATGAGCAGTGTGTAGGTCCACGCCCGGGACCCGAACCTGTGAACCCTGGGCTGCCGAAGTGGAGCGCACAAACCTAACCACTACGCCACTGGGCTGGCCCCTTGAAATTCTTAATAGTTTTTAATGAAGCCCCACATTTTCCTTTTGCACTGGGACCCGAAAATTGTATGGGTAGTCCCAGTTATTGTTATTGTTATTGTTGCTGCTATTGCTGTTGTTTTGAGTGCAGCCCACCTGCGTCTCAGTGGATGAGACCTCCTGAGTCCTGCAACATGGGAGGAAGCTAGTTGGGGGGCAGCGTGTGGTGCTGGTGTTTCCGGGTGTCTAGCCAGACCCTAGGCAGACTCACAGCTGGCCCAAGGGAAGGGAACAGACTCAGCAGAGGACACTTCCTCACTCATTTGCTTCATTCAACAAACAATTATTAAGTTCTGCTCTGTCTCAGGCACCATGCTAGGGGCTTTAGGGAATATGACAATGAAAAAGATATTCACTTTCTCCAACCCCCATTCAGAACCCCGGAGCTGTGGAGCAGGGTGTCTGCTCACATGAAATAAATCACATCCCTAGTAGGGTAGAAAGAGTGCTGAATTGGAAGTCGGAAGACCTGGCTCTAGCCCCTGCTCTGCTCTTGACTTGCTGTGTGACCTTGGGCAAGTTACTTCTCCTTTCTGGACTAGATAGCTGCTGGCCCAATGTGGTTGACCTCAGATAAACTATATCTGAATGCCTGGAAATGCAGATTCCTGGGCTCCACCCTGGCATGACCAAATCAGAATTTCTAGGAGTGGGTCCCTGGAATCGTCACCCACAGCTCCCTGGGTGGTTCAGTGTGCATTCTAGTTTGAGACCCTCTGAAGTCCATAGTCTGGGCCTTGGCTCTAACGGTCTGTGTTTGATAACTTCAGCTCTTAAATTGGGTCTTCATAGTTGAACTGATAGTGTCCACGTCAGGAAACGTGGGAGACTGAGGGTGGGTGTGGGGCAGAGACTGCAGGGGGCTGTGGTTCACTATCAAACTGGAGAATAATCCCCAGAGGGAAGCCTGGGAAAAAGAAAAAGAAACAGATTCTCTGGAGATGTGAGCATAAGTGGTGGCTTGGGAAGAGCAGGGCCGGAGAGGACATGGGACCACAGTCCTGGGCTGACCGTGAAGATGCACGGTCCTGCCGCTCAGAACCCTTCCCAGTCACACACGGCCTCCAGACGAGAGACCCACGGGGCACCTGCTTAGGAAAGCAGGGCGGTGGAGTCCTCGTGCTCGCCGCCGCTCTGACAGAGCCAGGCTCTGCTCACGGCCGACATTCTACAACCGCACTGCCCAGTAAGGTGGTCACTAGCCACAAGTGGCTATTTAAATTGAAGTTAATTGATTAAATTTAAATTAAATTAAAAATAAATAAAGCAAGCAAAAATGTAAATATGTGAGATGATGGATGTGTTAATTAACTCTATGGGGGAAATCCTTTCACGATGTATACATATATCAAACCATTGCGTTGTATGCTTTAAATGCCTTACAATTTTACTTGTCAATTATACCTCAATAAAGCCGGGGGGGATTAAGTAGTTAACTAATTAAAATTTCAGTTCCTCAGTTGCAGTAGTCACACTTCATGTGGCCAGTGGCTACCATGTTGGACAGCACAGGTTATGGAACGTTCCATCTTGGCAGAAAGTTCCACTGGACAGTGCTTGTTCTAAAAAGAGCAGAAATTGTTATCCATCACCCTCTTCTGCTAGTGCCCATCCAGTCGCTGGATGTTTGTAAAGATATGAGGCTACTTGAGGATTTTACTCTCCCCAGTTCCTGCTGCTTCTGGAATAATCTCCCCTTCCGAATCCTCTCATCTTCCACTCACCTTACACAAGATTGTGTAAGATCCGAAACCAGTCGGATCAGCCTTGGGCAGCTCTCCCTGCCACAGGCTCACCTGGCCTCTCTGCTTCACCCGTTACTCGCAGCATTTCTGCAGAAAGGCTTCATTTTTTCATTTCTCCCCGTAAACCAGAGGACCCCTCCTTTGAGCCTGTCTTACTGGCTCTAAGGTTTCTTAAGCTCAGCTATATAGCAGGTCCACAGCCTCATCTAGCTCTGGAAAACAAGTTTTGGCATCTCTCCCGCTCTGCCCCCCGTAGCTCACTGAACATGCTTTCAGTTCATTCAGACACGGGCGTCTCTGTAATCCCAACATCACCATCACTCCACGTTCAGCCTCTCCCTGTTTGAGCCTGTTCTTCCGGCTCCTTGGCCTCTCCTCAGCCCCTCCCTTGGGCAGGCCTCAGGAAACACAGCCGCTGAACACTGACCCCTCCTCCCCCTCTTCCCGTCAGGCCCCAGGCGATAGGCTCTGGAATGAGTAAGGAGCACTCTCCTCTGGAGGCATTCACTGTCTACAGGAGAGAGGGACACAAAACCACAGGCACACAGGGACGTATGGGCAGGAGTTTGGACAGAGTGATCTGGGTAGAGAGATCGCAGAACAGGTGACTGCTGGAGGGAAGGGGGATGTGTTCATGGATTTCCCAGGATTCTCTCTCGCTCCACGAAGATGCAGGATGAAAGGATTCCCGGCCGAGGCTCTCTTTTGCCTAAACCCTGTGTCAGCCACTGATTACTGCTCATCTAGACTATGAAAGCCCTGCCCTTCCTTCCCTCTGAGCCCTGTCTGCCGACTAAACCTTTCTTTCCATGTACCCCCGACCTTGGAATTCTCATCTAGCTCGGACCCCCTTCCACTCCTCGGTCAGTAGCCCCAGGCAGTCCGTGGGTCCTGCCCATTCCCGTGCTTGGCCCCAGCCCTTCCTTCCTCGCCTTTCTCTTCTGTGCCAGCTTTAGTGTGTGTCCTCAGACTCTCCCCTAGCTATGGCCCCAGTGCTGACACATCCCTCCCTCTCTGACCTCTGACTTCCATTTCTCCCCGCGCGCCATCTTCCCTCATTCCTGCATTTACCCATCCTCTCCCCATTCTTTGCCTTTGGGACACTCCTTGATTTAGACTCTAGATTGGCCTTGCCCGCTAATAGGTGAGTGAGGTTTCAGTCACAAATCTCTCACTCGTTCATTCAGCAGGGGTTCCCTGAGTTCCTGTTATGTGCCTGGCCCTGTAGGACCTTTGAGATCCAGAGAAAAAGCCCAGAACTTGGCCTCAGGATGCTCCAGCCTGGTGGAAAAGACAGTCAGAGAAAGGATTATTACACAGCGTGGCAGAGGCTTTATCAGCCATATGTGAAGAATACAACTGAGCGAGAGAAGGAGTCACTTTGGGTGGGGCTGGGGCTGAATCTTCAGTGATGAGTAGGGAGATGGTCAGGTGGACAAGGTAGAAAGACATTCCAGGCAGAAGGAGCTGCGTGTGCATCCGTGCAGAGCAGGGACCAGTAACAACCAATCTGAGCAGCCCTGGAGGGTTGGACCACATAGTGCCACGAAGGAGAGGGCTGCCGAGGGCAAGGCTGGAAGAGGGGCAGGTTAAGGAGACTGGGCTCTTTATAAGCACGAGAGAGAGTTACGCAGGTTTGCATTTTGGAAAGCTCATTCTGCAGGCTATTTGGAAAGAGACCCAGTAAAGGCTGATAGATCCCATAGGTGCTTTCTCCACCAATTTTGAACATCAACATATAGGATGAGCCAGGTTCTGCCATCCCACCACCTTCTGCCACTCCTGCCACCTCCCACTGCCAAGGGCCATTTCTCCTGCCAAAGAAAAAAAAGGCAGAAGCTTCTCTTCTAATTGATCATCTCCTGCAGCTCCAAGGGGCGGGCACCCTGGCACACAGGCAAGCTCTGTATTTTTATTTCTACTGCTGTATCATCATGTTTTCCTGCTTCTGATCTTCTCGCCTTCAGCTCATGGCCCACTAGAGAAGTTAGTAAATAAAATAAAGGTGCTTGACTCTCTTCATACTCCCATTCTGCAGTTTTGGAGACTGAAGCAAGGAATTGGCCTAACTGACCTGAATTATTTTCTGGTTGCTGTTGTAACAGATTACCACAATCTTAGTGGCTTCAAACAACACAAATTTACTATGGTACAGTTCTGAAGGCCAGAAGTCCAAAATGGGTTTCAGTGGGCTAAAATCTAGGTGTTAGCTGGGCCGCATTCCTTCTGGAGGCTGTAGGGGAAAATCTGTTCCCTTGCCTTTTCCAGTTTCCGGAAGATGCCTGCATCCCTTGGCTTGTGGCACCTTCCTCCATCTTCAAAGCCAGCACCATTTTTCCATTCTCTCTCTGACTCTGACCCTCCTGCCTCCCTCTTATAAGGACTGTTGTGATTGCACTGGGTCACCTGGATAACCAAGGATAATCTCCCCATCTCAAGATCCCTAATTTAATCACATCTGCAGTGTCCTTTTTGCCACATAAGGTAACGTATTCACAGTTTCCAGGGATGAGGATGTGGACAGTTCGGGGGCCCTTATTCTGCCCACCACATGGCCTTTTTAGTGTCCCTTTGAGCTTTTCAGTCCCAGGACTCCATGAGCCCCTGTTGTGGCTGACCCATGCCTCTGTCCATCTTTGTTCTTTCAGAGGAAACGACGTTTGAAGCAGGAGTGAAAGTTCAGATCCACAGTCAGTCTGAGCCGCCTTTCATCCAAGAGCTGGGCTTTGGGGTGGCTCCAGGGTTCCAGACTTTCGTGGCCACACAGGAGCAGAGGGTAAGTTCCCTGGGCTCCCTGGATCGGTGGTCCTAGGCCCATCCCAGACACCTGCAGAGGTGTAAGGAGGAGAAATGGCATTCCCATTCCTGGAAGGCTCTGAATCCACCCAAAAGGCTGGAGCAGAGCTGGTCTCAGTAAAGGGGCTCACCCTGAAATTGGAGAAAGGTATCAGCTAACCTCTGTAACCGCATTCTCCTGTACCACCTGTTCGTTCCTAAAATTGGGTGTGAGGGAAACCCAGCTTATTTTCTTTTTCATTGAATTGGTTGGAGGTTTTTTTCCAGAACATTCTGGGGGGGAAATATCTTTGGAGGGGGGTTAGGGGGACAGTGGATGCTAAGGGAAACTGCTAACCATGGTTTGACGTTTCATCACTTGTGTGAATACAATGCAAAGTGGCCTGCAGAAGGGAATAGGAATGAGGCATCACTCTCATTAATAATAATAATAATAGTAATAGAGCTCAAGTGGAGGGAGGCCTCTTGCATGCGTTCCTGCATCCTGTCTCTGGTTTAGCACCAGGGAAGGGGCCCTCCCAGCCAGCCAGGGCTGCTGCGTCAACTCTGCACGTCAGTGGAGTGAGGACTGGCCCAGCCTCACGTCTGATGTGGGTCTCACATCTCAGAAGGGAGACCTTTGCAAATTCTCAGTAGGGAGAAAGTCTCAAAGCAGGACTGTGGAGGGACACAGGAACACTTTCTTTCTCTTATCCCCTGGTTCTCCCAGCTGGAGAAACTGACTCTGAGGGAGTCCTAAACCAGATCATCCAAAACAGTTTGCCCTGGGAGGCCCGGGGCAAAGAGCGAGGTCAGTGAGTTGCAGGAGGTCAGTGAGTTGCAGGAGGCGCCGGCTCTGGGCTCTCGGGTGCGAGAAGGGGAGAATCAGGAGAACAGTGGAGAACAGTCAGAAAGCTCGTACATACAAGCTCATATGCATGGAACTTACAAGTTTTTTTTAAAAATTTGGCTCAAATGTCATCTTTTATCTAGTACTGGTCACAGCTGTTTAGCCATTTCATAAAGCAATATTCTGTACTAGAAACTGGTTTTAGGTCTGTAAGCGAGCTATATTTTGAATCTCTGGGAAAGTGTTGACGGTGTGGCCCTCACGAACTGGGCCCTGTACCTAATGCCCGGGCAGTGGCTAAAAGCCGAGGTCAGCCTCCTCTGCAGCATGTAGCGGTGGGATGGGGCCTTGGAGGCAGGGGCAGAGGAGGCTGGGAGGTTGGCCCCAGCCTCTACAGGCCCCAGGGACCGAGGAGATGGTGTGAGCAGAATCGGAGTGTGCAAAGGTGTGCAAAGTGGGAAGTGAGTGGTGCAACCAGAAGACCTCATCTTTAAGGACAAAGAAGGAAGGCACAAAGCAGATGACAGGGAGCCAGGTTCAGGGCTGAGGATTTGAGTCAGGAAGAGTGAGAACGCAGACTAACAGGCGACGGTGTGCAGAGAGACGGGCGGTCTGGGTGAGCCCGGAGCCCGAGCTATTAGCCACGGTGTAATAGCCAGCCCTTGAGTGCTGTCAGAGATAAACAAAGCCGGACGCTGGTTAAAGCGGCAAGGACAGATTTAAATTAGTGATGTACTATCGCAATAGGGTAGAGGATTCAGCATGAACTGAACTCAACTTGAATTTGTACAGAGGTGACTGGGTGTTTTAAAGAAAAAAATGAAGGAGGGGAAACAAAGGGGGCTTGAGCAGAGTCAAGGAAGTGAAAAATTACAAAAAGCAAGAAGGAGGGGTTGGTCCCTGTGAAACCCATCTGAGTTTGCTGACTGGCACTTATCGAAGTTAGGCTCCCACCCGCCCACAAAGACAGGGAGCTGGAGACCCTATCTTCAGATGTTGGCAGGAACAAATAGTACATTCTTCTGGCAACCTTGCGTTTTCTCAGGCAGGGACTTTAAGGGGGCAAGGGTTATCCTAGGGATGCAGCTTTGAGCTGTTAGAAACTATGTTAGTGTTTGTTCAAGTTCATAGGCCAAGGTTGAGGCCTAGTTGAGAAGAGGGCTCAGAGGGGCCTAGCTAGAGTTTGGTCAAGGAGAGACACTTTGTCAGTCCTCCCTTCTGCGTGTTACATGAGTAAACTACCCTCCCTTCAAAGATCCAGGCACAGGTTAGACTAACAAGGTTGTACATGAATTCTTTGACTATCTAAAGGTGAATTTTTTTGTTTTGTTTTTAATTATTTTATTGAGGTCTTATTGGCTTATAATATTGTGTAAATTTCAGGGGTACATTATTATATTTCAGCTCCTGTATAGACTGCATTGTGCTCACCACCAGTAGTCTAGTTTTTATCTGTCACCATACACATGTGCCCCTCTACCCCCTTTCACCCTCCCCCCACCCGCTTCCTCTCTGGTAATCACCAATCTGTTCTCCTTATCCATGTGTTTCTTTGTTTATCTTCCACATATGAGTGAAATCATACAGTATTTGTTTTTCTCTGTCCGGCTTATTTCACTTAGCATAATACCCTCAAGGTCCATCCATGTTGTCAGAAATGTCACAATTTTGTCTTTTTTATGGCTGAGTAGTATTCCATTGTATATATATATCACATCTTTATCCATTCATGTGTTGATGGGCACTTGGGTTGCTTCCACCTCTTGGCTATCGTGAATAATGCCACGATGAACATAGGGGTGCATAAATCTTTTTGAATTATTGATTTCATATTCTTTAGATAAATACCCAGTAGTGGAATAGCTGGATCATATGGTATTTCTATTTTTAATTTTTTTGTGTGTGTAGGGAAGATCAGCCCTGAGCTAACATCTGTGCTAATCCTCCTCTTTTTGCTGAGGAAGACCAGCTCTGAGCTAACATCTATTGCCAATCCTCCTGCTTTTTTTCTCCCCAAAGCCCCAGTAGATAGTTGTATGTCATAGTTGCACATCCGTCTAGTTGCTGTATGTGGGACGTGGCCTCAGCATGGCCGGAGAAGCGGTGCATCGGTGCGTGCCCGGGATCCAAACCCGGGCTGCCAGTAGCGGAGCGCACGCACTTAACGGCTAAGCCACGGGGCAGGCCCCTATTTTTAATTTTTCAAGACATCTCCATACTGTTTTCCATAGTGACTGTACCAGTTTGCATTCACATCTAAAGGTGAATTTTTGACTGGTTGTCCAAGGCAAATCTGACTTTGTGGTTTGTTGAACGTAACTGCCACACCTATCAGGAATGACTTACTTGTGTTGCCATCCCTCTGGTGTCCACATTGCTATTTGCCTGCAGAGGAAGTGAACAGCATTCTTTGAAACCCACAGTGTCGCTTCATTTCACGGCTAGCGAAGGTTGGAAAGAAGGAAGTTCTTTGTAGGCTGCTATTTGTCACCGGCCTGAAAGAGGTGCTTATTCCTCCCCCATCCCTGCTTACCCTCCTTTAGTGACGCTGAGGAAATTTCTGGGCTGGGTGGGAAGTTGGAGCTGGTGACTTCTAAGAGCCCTTAAATCTCTTTATCTTCCCAATATGAAGCAGAGGGACGCCCCATGGTGAGCAGGAACAGAACATATTCCCAGCTTCAGAGGGCAACTTCGTTGTCTGCTTTGAAGTATATTCTCAGAAAATCAGCCTCATTCATATCAGTATTGCTATGATTATTATAACTAATAATAAAATATTTGGTTAAACATTTTACAGTCCTAAAAGCATTTCCGCATCATCTCATTTCATCATTTCGTTTATATTAATAGAGAAATACAAAAACACGTCCTGGAGCTAAATCTAATAATACATTATGTTTACATGTATATAAAAGAGCATATTCATAGGAAATAAGACTCGAAGGAAATAAGCCAAGAAACCCACAGTGGGGGAATTATGAATGATTCATTTTCTTTTCTGGGTTTGCGACATGTTTTATAACGTGGCTTTGTTTTATTTTTATCCGTTCAGCAAATATTTGTTGAACACCTACTATGAGCTAAGTGATGGGGCTACAGTGGTGAACAAAACAGACCCAGCGTCTGTCCTCATAGAGCCTACGTCTTAGTGGTTTCTTTCACAAAGAAAATGTAATAATTAAATAATATTAAGCCAAGTATAATTTGGGGATTGGCCCCTATTTCTACATTCTCACTCTGCCGTTAGTACTAACCCATCCAGCCGACCCTGGTCCTCAGACACTGTGATTCATTGATTCTAAAGATGCATATTTTTTTCACACGTTAACATTTCTGAAATCGAGATTTGTTTCCCAAGCAATGGCGTCCCACAACTACAACTGGCGGTGCTTCTTCTTTTTTGGTGGCACACAAACTCATGGCATGTCTTAGAGTCTAGAGTGGCTGCACTGTTCCCATTCCAGGATTCTGCTGCTTCAGCTCAAAGCTCAAAGGAATCTTGCAGGAAGGCCAGGGGTGACAAGACTGTGGGGAGCAGAGGGCCCTTTCCTGGAAAGGTGGTGAGGATCATGCTAGGGAAGTTGACTCCTGAGTGAGAGCCCCAAGAGGAACTGGCGACTTAAAGGAATCCAGCCATGAATCCCTTTGTAAATGGGAAAGTCCTTTGGCATGGTCAAAATCATCCCACTCATGCCAAACTACACACATGTCTATCAATATGTTTTTCATTTTATTTTGTATCCAAAAGAACACACCATTGGGCTGTAACCCAGAGCAAAGATTGCTTTTTTTAATCAGTCTTTTCTCTAAACCCAGTTAAGCCAAGGTGTGCTCCCGCCTTCCTGGACAACCTGAGAAATGACCCCCTGGCTAGCCCAGCTGCTGTAGGAGCCACTGCGTGACCCCAGGACCACCACCACCAGACACAGGAAATGGGTAACACACTGGGAGAAGAAACAGAACCCCTGAGAGGGTAGAAAGGTCACAGTGACTACTAGCTAACTGCCAGGCATTAAGCTGCAGGGACACTTGACGTGCATTATTTCATTTAATCCCCCACAACAACCATGCGAGGGGAGTATTGTTATCTCCACATTCCAGATGACAAAACTGCCAGTTAAGTAACTTGCTTAAGGTCGCATAGCTAGGGG